TTGTCTATTTAATGTTTATCGACCAGCTCCAACTTAATTGGCTCTCGTTCCTCCTTTTCCTTATTGTCGATGGTTTTTGCTATTGCGTTGTGTACACTCGGCGGCGAAAACCCGCCTCTCTCTCTCTCTATTGTTATTCATGTTTTCGACATCTCAATATTAAAATGTGTGTACTTAGGCCACTTCATTTTTTGTTGTTATTGATTATCATCGTCGTCCGCGCCACATCGTTATCGTCACCCTTTCTCTCGTGCTCTCGCTTTCTCGGTGCCCTTTTTTTCCCCCGATAATTTCCGCCGCTCCAACGACTGATCTAAAAATACCCTGCTTACAGCTAACTTAAGAACGTAGTTTCTTGTTGGAAACAAAATATAGATTATTAAATCGATGTCTATGAGCTGTGCAGTCCCCAGTATGTTTCAAAACAATTATTATTGGAAGTTTACCATTTTTTTACGATTTCGTCAAACAACGCGTAGCAAACAGAATTGGACCAAGCAACGATACATTCGCAGCACTGCCGATTCAATCATCCTATATTCGACGACCGTCACATTATTACTATGGTGGATTAATAAATTAATGTCGCATTTAATGCGAAGCCTTACAGAAACTCTTCGCTACCGTGTAGTATGTAAAAAAAAAAAAAAAAATACATGAATAATTTATTCACAACTTACTATTAGTCGTTCTTGTGCAAACTATTGAAGCTGACGAAAGTTTAATAAACGTATATACTTTAGAGAAACACGTGCCGTTTGTTACTTCAGCTGAAGAAGCTCGAGGAGAGCGCAAGTTGCGGAAGGTGTTTGAACGTTGGAGATTAAAACATTACATGATTTTTTTGATTATTCAGTCAAATTTTTATACAAATTTATGTGGGTAAACTCAACGAGAAATTGAATGTAGTCGGGATTCCAGTAATACATATTTTAATTATATTTTTAAGGCTATATTATACTGTATTGCACTTTCAGCGATTTACACCTCACGTAGACACATATTTAATTATGCTCTCCCGAGTGTGAACAATAAATCGTTACTAAAGTCCCTGGCTTCAGTAAGATTTCGTGTAAGGCAAGAAAAAATATAAATTACCATATTTACGATACTTTGAATCCTCACAATGACCAGTTTTCCAAGTTTATCGTTATTCATTAGACACCTCGAAAAAGAGGCTCGTCATTAAATTCGCACTCGAAAAACAATACATTATTCCTTCGTTAAGCACTTTATGGCATGTATATATACGTATATATACGTATATACTCTTCCACCTCACACCATTACCCCGACAAAGTATTGTGGCTTACCAAGCAGGGGTTCCACTTCACCTTTGTGTACGAGTCGTGCCAAGCCCTGTTTTACGCCTGATATATTATGTTGTTGTACCTTTTCTTCCTTTGACTTTTTAAGAAAAACCGATACATTGTAGTGCCTCGCATTTCTGACAGAGGGGAGAGCGCGACCCCTTATGAAATTATTATTTTGGGTGCAAACATAATTATTACTTGATTATTAGTATGGCATAAAGGTTTTCGAAACGAAATACATGATTATCATACGATGAAACAAAAATCGAACCTGATAGTTATATACGGGCTGCATTATTAGTATACATTGGTAAAAAGCCTGGAACGTACGTAATTTTTATATTATTTACAGGTATCCAAAATAATGGTTTTACGCAACTACTCGGAGCAGATGATCCTAGATACGTCACGATACATTTTAAGGTTGTAGGGAGTTACAATTGTGCATAAATTTTATCGACTGATCGGAAAAGAAGCAGAGGAGGAAAAATAATTAAGTAGATGTATAATCCATGAGAGTGAAAAAACTGCTAAAAAACATAATAATATATGCTCTGAATTAATCACCATCCAAATCATAAATGAAGATCTTGACTACCATCGTGTTTCCTACATTACTTTGAGCAATAAAATATAAAAAAAAAAAAAAACGTAATCTCAACTGATGTAAAGTTAATTCATTGCTTGTAAAACAACTATGCCTGATTCCTTAATAGCGTAACGGGACTATACTTGTTTGTTCTTTGGAAAAAATTTTTCCGTCCGACCTTCAGTGTGGCTGTACAAACAATAAGTTCTCGTTCGATTCGTACGATACTTACACAGGTAAATGTAACGAAGGAATCTCTATCAAGAAAAAAAAAAAAAAAAAAAAAAAAAAAAAAAAAAATTGGAAGATTCTATTTGACATCTTTAATATACATGTGACGCTATCGCAATTTACTTATGATAAAATCACAAGTGTAGCTGTTTTGTAAACTGGAAACGAGGCCCGAGTGTGTTTAATGTCTACACAGCAGTTATTGGAGAAAATTTTGTCAACTCACGGATTCAGATGCTCGTGAAAAGCTGCCTACGGATGATTTATATTGCCTAGTTAGAGGTACCAGGAATAAGAAAAAAAAAAAGTTAACGATCGCGGTTAGCGAGAAAACATTAGGAAATCATCACGAATTTCGGTCTACGCGAGTAATGATGCATTCATACGAGCGTCAAAGTCGTATCAAAGAGTGAAAATTTAATATTCGCGCTGAGCGAGAAGAAGGAGCTCCTATTGAGGTCTGTTTTTCGACCTAGAAATGCATTTTTTTTCGACTCGTCTTCGTTCGTCGTTGCATTACGCGCCGCGCATGTATGCGTATACAAACATTTATGCATGTGCACGTGTCGTGATTCTTGGTTTTGCATTTTTTTTTTTTTACACTTTTCGATCGGATCGATTCGACCGACGATCCGCTCTTTTATTCGCACGTGTTGTCTTCTCAATGAATGTAAATAAGTATGCGATCCTTCAAGACTCGTTGGTTCTCTCTCTTGTCGTCACGTGATGGTGACGACCGTACATCATATATACTGCTTCACTTACGTAATTGTTCACGTGCTCCATCGCAATTTGATTAAAAATACCATTGTCATTTCGATGCGATAAGTCGACGTTGAAATTTCGTTGCTCGGAAAACAACATTTCGACGTCTACGTGCATTAATTTCCTTAAACGAGATTTCGAGGGGATTGGAGCGAGTTTTCAAATTTTCATTGCAGTAATTGACAATCATCGAGGCGTACACCTCCGCTGAAAAACCCAAAAAAGAAAAAAACACACGACACCCAAAGCCGTAAACACCACACGGGACAGTATAAATAAGCCGGGCTCTCTCGGCGGCCAATCTTATTGACACCTCCGATCTCGATAAAATTGTTTTTTTGTTTTTTTGTAGTTGTTGTTGTTGTTGTTTTTTCTCTCCTCAGTTTTCCAATCGTATCGACTTATCGACTCGTTTCCAAAGCATCACGTGCAACTGACGTGAGAAGAAACCCCCATGGAAGGGGGGACTGTTAGAAATATATCCCCGCGAAACGAAAGAAACCAGAGTTTTCCCTGGTAGAGGCGATCTCGGGCAACCGGTATCGGCGAAAAAAAAAAAAAAAATCGCGGAATCGGCCGGAAACTGCTGTTTGACTTGACGATGATCGGCACCGGCCCAACACGAGCTCGCGGCGCGAAACAATCGCGCAAGTATCGACGGACGGGCGTAAAAATCGATCTGAAATAGGTCGGCCGAGCCGTAACAGCCGCACGTTACGCACATCGCAATATGCATCCACGACGCTCGTACAATTACGCGTGTACAATAATACACACCACAACAACAACAACCGGCGAGAGACGAAGCGGGGGGAGGGGGACTGCAGAAAACGTCGCTCAATCGCTCGCAGCTCGGATTATTAATTGCACACCGAGATAGTCCGCGGGAAGAGAAATGAGGACAGGAGGTCGCCAGCGGCTGCACAACGCACGGGCACGTACTTCTACATACATATATACGTAATATATATAGATATATCTCCGATCGGATCGGTAAAGTTCGCCCGAGGCTCTTAGCTCAAAGGTCGTTGGAAAAACAATGCCTTTGACTGCACGTCCACGCCTACTACGAAGCATCAGAGAGCCGATGGCCAAGAGTTATTTGGACGAAAAATTTGACAAATAATAACACGGGGCGATTGGCGGCGAGATATGAAGAAAGGTAGAAAAACCCAGAGCACGTATCGATATTGTACATGGAACCGGTTGCGGGAGAGAGACAGAGAGAAAGAGAGAGAGAGAGAGACCGGTATGTTATAATAACAGGGATCGGGGGTGGGCCCCGTGGTGATCGTAAAAAGAGACTATTGGTCTGGGCGCATCTCCCCTCCCTGGCTAAACGAGGGGAACGTGAAAATCCTCGGTAGCCGAGTCTCTTTGACCGAGCGATGGGCGTATGAGGAAAAAGCAGCGGCGAGTCACCGGGGACTGCGAGAAAGAGAGACAGATTGCAGAAGAGAGAGAGAGAAGGGAGCGTGTTTACATGCCGGGGCGCAGCATCATCTAAGTACCTTACTCACTCGCGCTCCTCTCTCATCTTTCTGTCGGCCGTTGGCGCTTGCAGGGGCTCTAGCGGCTGCGGCGAGGCTCAATATATAAATATGCAGGGACGAGCCACGACAGCCGGCAGAAAGGCAGAGAGTCGCTTGCAAGCCGGCCGCTACACCGCGAGTCGACAGGAGCCTCCACGAGTTGCTTGCTTATTTTTTTTTTTTTTTTACTTCTTCGTTTTTAATTTTTAGTACAACCATTGTTCGTCCAACGTATACAAGTGCACGCGAGCATAATACTCGTACGTCCAAATTTGTATACACCAGGAGCAATTAAAGTAGCTGATAAAAGAGAACAAGAGGCGAACCGTTGGAAACCGTGCTGTGAATAAAACGAATCCTTCGTAAAAAAACAAAAAAAAATTAAAAAATAATTAGTGCGCGAGTGTTGCATGAAATTTTCATGATTTCATCATCGGCTGTGATTGTCTAACAAGTGAGTTTGGTCGGCCAACGTCCAGTGTTCGTTTTCATCAGGATCGGCAACTGCAGATCTGTGTTGGCCACAAAAATTGAATGCATCCGATCTTTACCGGTCAATACCAATAGACAACAGTAAAAAATAATCAAACGAGGGGTCGTCTCTTCGTTTCGTTTCCTCGAGCAACGCGACAATCGTCAAAGGGAGCGATGCTGCGAACCGCAAGCCGGAGTTGTTCCTGGGGCGTCCTGTCTCTGGTGTCATTGCTGTTATTGCTGAGCCTCGCGAGGCACCACCAGGCGGACGCGGCGAGCATGTACAGAACGGCCTCGGACTCGCACGTGCAGCGCTTGTGCTCGAGCAACCTCAGCGACGCGCTATTCCTGCTGTGCAAGGGCCGCGGCTTCAACGGGCCATTCAGCAACAGCGGCGAGGTCAGCTCCTCCGACTCAAAGTCGTCCTCCTCGATCTACTCCCAAGGGGATGGCTTCTCGAGCGGTGGCCTCGTCGACGAGTGCTGCATACAATCCTGCACCCTAGAGCAGATGGAGCAGTACTGCATGCCCCCGCCGCCCAGCAAAACTGATTAGCACCACCCGCCCACGACTTTGCCCTCAACGCGATTATGTAAGTTGTTTGCCTTGTTGTGTACCACCCGTTGTTTCTTGCTTTTTTCATCGGGGATTCTCAAAAGACCAAAAAATTTTAATCGATGTTTTGTTTTTTTTTGTTGTTACAGGCCAACATTGCTTCGTCGTTGCTTTTGGCGATGGCGGTTCCCGTGGGTGCCGGCGTTACGTTGATGGGGCCATTTTGCGATTGGCGATCGAGTGTGTGATAAAAACGTGACGTTTCGATGAACGATGGACACGACACGAGATGGTTTTTTTTTTTTTTTTTTTTTTTTTCTCTCAAAGCGCAACGGCGGTCCAGACTGAAAGCAGCAACCGAGGATTGACTAGAGTCGCGGATACGTTGTTGTTAATTAGCACATAAGTATACACACACATATATATAGTCGACGACGATGAGAGTGAGAGTTAAAACCGAATGATTTACTTTTTGTACGGATTAATATTTGTCTTTGCACACGCTTCAATCATGCCGTGATATTATATATTTTTGTGTTGTTGGTGTTGATGTTGTAACCCACGCCGAGCCACACACGCTGAGGGCTAAAACGTTAACAAAATTAATTTCAAGATGAGCACGCGTTGTTCGTCTCAATTGTGTACATAGATGTGTGCGTATATGTATGTATATATACGAAACGAATGTAAAAAATTTGATGAGGAAGGAGGAAAAAATAGCGAGAGATCGACGAATTTTATGATCATCGTGCGATGTGCGACCTGTTCTCGAGCGCATCAGCAGCCCACGAGAACTTAATTTGTCTTGTGAGACACACTTTTATTTTCAACAAGATGTACTTAGTTCATTGACATCGTTCTTTTTTTGTGTTCATAGATTGTGTTTGTCAGAAATTGTATTAAAAACAAAATAATAACAATTATAACGAGTAGAAAGTACTGTTTCAACAAAATAACAGTATATAACATGTATAGTGCGATTCAACACGTGTGATGAGAAACAATGGCTGGTGATTAATACGCAAAACTAGAATTTTGTACCGTTCTCTTTCGTTCTTTGAATTTTTAATTTTTTTTATTTCTTAGTTTGCTGTAATTAAAAATCGAAGTAAAATTACGTATCTTAAAAAAAAAAAACAACAAAAAAAACAAAAAAAAAACAAAAACAAAACAAAAAAAAACAACAACAACATCAGTAGCAGCAGCGGCACACGTCGATTACCATCATACTTTATAATTATGTAGGTAGCTGTTGGCTCATCTCTTTTTCTATCTCTCTCTCTCTCTCTACCCTCTCTTTCTCTTGTAATAACCAATGATCTCATTAGTATTAATTTACTGTTAATTTACAATTATTGTGTATATTTTGTGTAATCGAAAAAAGTGATATATAACTGCGGTGGAAAATGGCACAGAAAAAGGCAGAAAAAAAAAAAAAAAAAAAAACGGAAAAGCCTTATTTCGACACCGCCTTGTACATTTTAGCGACTGCCGGCTCTATTGCTCGTACAATGTGTGCGCATGCCATGCGAGACTTTCGTTTCAATAAATAATTGTGAATTATTTCATACAACAAGTGGTTTGGTCATTTTTAACCCTCTCTGTTTTCTCCGTACCGCATGATCCTTGAATTAAAAAACAACAAGTATAAAATGACGAAAGTGAAAATGTATAAAAACAAAAAATTTACAGTTCAATGGGAGGGAAGCGAGATGAGTGAAGGAAAAAAGAAAATCAGAATCTCGAGGTTGTTGCTCTTTAAATCGAGATTCGAATTGGTCTAAAAATAACGCACCTCTCTCTTTTTCGCATTGCGCGCACCCTATTCATCAATAACTTTATGTACGAGGGAATGTTTCCTTGACTTTGTTTGTTTGAATAAACTTCAAAACATGCCTTCCCAATAAACACACATTCAATATACATATTATATAAATAGATGTACATTGTATATTTATATACGTATCAACCGTCAGCCAACGCGAACTATCGCTGCGGCTCTCAAGATGCACACGTTTATATCGTGCGAACCAGATTATAAACATATAAATACATCCACACTAGTGCAAATACCGCGATGGTAAATACTTTTATCGTTTTCTCGCGTTGCATCTATTTTTCTCATTTTCCTCGCATTGATTACACTATATGCACGAGTGCTCGTATTTATAGCTGCCTCGAGCAACCATATATCAGCGGCACCAGCAGCAGCCGTGATCCAAAAAAACTCGCTCAAACAGCCGATTATATTATATTTCCAGTGATTTTTCGACTTTCACTCTCCTCCGGTTCAGCTTTGCATACCCGTTTTTCCGCAAAACCACGCCAAAAGTGCACAACGCGCGGTAATTGTCATTCTTAAGCTCTTTTTGTTTCCATACTCCTCGCGGTTCTGTCGCAAACTCGTTTTCCTCACCTCGTGGCTTTCGAATTTCCCAACAAAAGCCCCGACAAGCCCAACTCGAAAAGTGCGCCACCCCGCGCTTGCTCAACTTTCATCAGTCAACTTGCACCATCATATAATATGTACAATGTATCCGCTGTGCCTATGTACCTACATGAGGTTCGATACGAGCGCGGGGTGTCTTCAGCAAAATGTCACAACGTTTTTCAAGCACATGGCCTGGTCACGGCAGCACCTGGGAATCAGTGTCTTTAAAAACTCTTCCTGCGCTTGGGCTCGAGGTTTCCTCGACGTCCTCAGCCCGTAGTACTCGTTGAACAGCTCCATCCATTCGCTCGGATTTGCCTGAGAATCGCATTCGTCGTCGATTTTCAAATATTACAAATAGAACAAATGTTTCATTCAAAAGATATTCGTGACAAAAATGTGCCTTACTTCGGGAAGGGAAATCGTATGGATTTCGGTCTCGTCGGGCGGAACGTCTGGCAAGGACGACAGTGTCATTCCCCTTATCGTCGTCGAGTGTCTCGTCTTACTCTGGGGCTGGGGGTTGGAGCTGTCCTCGGTCGAATCGCCTGAAATGTATAGCCTTGTTTTTGTCAAGAGCTTCGTGACCCAGAACTGTTTTATAATTTTTATTTTTATTTATCCACTCGAGTTATTGATATAAATCAGGCAGCTTTTTTTTCAGACAAGTGATAGCTTGCAGTACATGACTTTTTTTGTACAAGCACTTACTTATTAGCAGCGCTAATAACATGAAAACTCAGAGATTATTAATAATTATTTGTATGTGTATACGTAACAAGAGCGGAAAACACGGGTTTTCGCAAAAGTAGTGATTGGTTGGAGTTATTCACACGAGTTTGATGGTACAATGCACGAGATACACCGGTATAGGCCACGAGTGTGGTATTACAATACAAGAGTTGAACTCGTCCCGCACACTTTCATGTGCCTGAAAAATTTTTTGTAATTACAAAATAGTAGCTTTCGTCACTGGTGCGCTTCTCCCGCAAAACCTTTGTGATCGTCCTGGACGAATATTTTATCTTTGAGTTAGAAAAAAAAAAACGATTGAGATATAGGAAATGGTATACGATATCTACTGTTTTTTAATCATCCATATTTGTTGCATTACCTTGAGTATAAATCTATTTATAATCTTTGAAAAACACGATTTTTATACCGTTTAAAAAAAATATTTTTATTTACACACGGTAAGTTTAAAATTTTTTCTTTTTTTAACTCGATCCCTCCGGGAGCGTAGAAATTTTTGTTGCAGTTAATGTTTTTATAAAAACTCAATTTTTAAAAACATATGTTATGTAACTAAAATATCAGCTCTTACTTAATTATTCTTGCTTGATTTAATAAATTCTGAGTCATAATTGAAGTTGATGTTTCTATGTAACCTTCCAAAATTTGAGTGGTTATGGGAAAGCTACAGAAAAACAGTATTTTCATGGAACACATATATACGTTAAACGAAATGATGTATGAAAGAAATTCAAGCAGCTGTTATGAACCTTATTTTGCTCGCTAATTAAGACGATAACATTTGTAATACTTTCATTTCAATCGAGTAAGCGAAAAAAAAAACTTTATCCACCAAACTTCCAATGAACTTACGAAAAAAAGGCATGATAAAGTTCAATGCTTCAATGTCATTATTTTTAGTTAATTTCACTACATAGTTTATAAACCCGTGAACAAGATTCTATACAATACCTATCGCTATGTATGGATTATTACCAGACATGCTACACAAATTGACTAGATATGAGAACTTGAAGATTTTATGAAGTTCCTTAAAGTCAATTATTGTAATTTGTAAGTCATTACTAGCAATCAAGAAAAATTATTTATAAAAATTCAAATAAATCGAAATTTGTACATAATAATACTCGTTTGCCAATTATTACAACTATTTTGTAGATTATTAAACATTTCAAAAGAAAATTTTTTTTCTTGTTAAAGTCCATTCTTTTTGATGAAAAAAATGTTTACTTGTCCCTATTCATAATATAATTGTATAATGTAACAGGAAAAAAAAAAAAATTTTCCTCGCTGGCTGATAAGTGCATTACATTTCATACATTAAATTTTATTCTAAAGAATTTGAAACCAAATATTTCAACACTATTTCGAATACTGTGGCCCTTTTTTTTCAAATTATTTTTCTTTTCCAGTTTGCAATGCACTGTTTTTGCTGGGAAAAATACATATTGAATAAAGTATTATGGCACTTTAGCAAAAAAAAAAAAATAATAATAATAATAATAAATAAATAAATGAATAAATAAAAAAAAAGAAATCATATCCGTATCCGAGCCTGCAAGTACCGAGCATGAAACTCTAGGATAGCTACTCGCAACCAAATATTAATCTTTGAACTTCAGGTCAGGAGTGCGGTATCTCCCCTGGCTGGGATAATAATACCGAACGGTCATCCGTGGCACGTGATATGAAAATGTTTTCATCAATAAAGTCGCTCTATCGGCAGACAGAAGAAAAAAAAGCGAAACAAACCGAAAGAAATCAAGCAGGGCATTTTCACATGAACATAAAAATTTATAAAAAAAAAAAAAAAAAAAAAAAAAGAAGAAGCACGTGAATGTATAGAAAAAAAGTATTATTCTCTCGTCAGTACAAACTATATGTATGGGTGATAATTTACTTGCTGTCACCAGCGACCGCAGGACTCGATCGTGCAGCAGAGCGGGCGCGTCGCGCCTACCCCTCGAGGAGTTGCAGTGGTCCAATACCTCGCGTATGGTCTTTTTGCAGGTCTGCAAGTGCGGGACAGCCGGCCTCGGGGCAACCATAAGCGTAACGCAAAAAAGGAGCACCGGGGGACTGGCGAAGGCCCGCATCTCGTCGACTTCCCTCGGCTCCTCGGGATCCCGGCCTTTTTATTTTACTCCGCGGTATTTCGTATACGTGCTCGACTCGCGCGCGGACAATCTCCCACGTTCCTCCGTTGTTATCGGCGCGCGTTACTGCAAATACTTGGTGCGGCCGCGATCCACCTGCTCGACTCTCCTTGGCTATGGACGTCACGAGGCAGGAATGCACTCCCGAGGACGCTGCACTCGCGTAAGCCATGGGACGTGTTGTTTTTCATTCTTTTTTTTTTTTTTTTTTTTTTTTCTGCTCGTATGGACGATGAACTAGTTTCACGGGGGGACCTTGTAGACTTTCCGTCTCCCTCGTCACAATGATGCAGCCTCGTTTCGTCTTTGCATCGAGACGCGACTGAAATGGGCCAAATTTTACTCGCTCATTCGGCAATGCACCTTTTTCCTTTTCTCCAACGACGTTTTGCAACAACAATAATTCGCCGGTCGTGCACGCGTCTAAAAATAGTCGTCTGTTATTGGCCGTATGGTTATTTTCGTGTCTCGTTTCTTTTCACACGGCCCGAAATACACATCGAAATCGTTTTGAAATCGGTTTTATCTCGCTATAATGGCTGCCCTACTTCTCGTCGTGTATACGAGACGCGCGAGAAGGGGAGAAAAAAAGTACCTTCTCGTATTTTATATCGAGAGCTGATAAAAAATGTGTTATTTTGAACGTTGCGTAACTTTGGTGGACGGGAAAAAAAAAAAAAAAAAAAAAAAAGGTACAACCGATCGCGACTATAATGCGCGCGTTAACCGTGAAATTAAAGCGTTGCCCAACACGTATCCATACGTATGTGAGCGATCTCGCGAATTTTCTTGGTTAAACGCGTGATTTTTTGGTTTAATCGATATTTTTGTGTATTGTAAGAATATTGATAGTGAAAGAAAAAAAAAAAATGTATTTTCGAGCTTGTAGATAGTGAAATTTGTATAGGTACACAAGAACCTAAGAAAACACAAACATCTTGACGAAAATACGAACTGTATATGTTTTGTCGCGGGCATCGATGCTCATCAGGTATAAAGTTTCGAGCGGCTCGAAAAAATGCTGATGCGGCTTCGAAATGGCTTGTGCCCCGTTTTCTCACAAAAACAAACAATGATGTTTCTTTTCTGGCATTTTTCCTTCGTTTTCTTCTCTTGTGGGAAAAATCTCAGGGCTCGGCGATTCAAGCGCGCCCCCAAATCAACAAGCCGCTCGGAAAAACCATTTGTCATTTTCATAGGTGATCCATTAAAAATTATCTCTCAGCATCTAAATTCAGCGGTCCCGGCTAATTTCACGGTAAAAATTCTGTTTCGAGATGAATCACGTGGAAAAGATGTTGTTTGTTGTTTTCTCGCTCGAGCCATCATATGGAGTAAAATTAATTTTTTTTTTCTCTTACTAATTAACCGCAAATGATTAAAAAAAAAAAAAAAAAGTACGCTTCTATTACCAAACTTGTTTACAGATACAAAAATGTTCTCACTTAGTTATTGCTCTAATCAACGGAACCTTTATGCACACGGGCCCTACAGTCTTATCTCTTCGTTCCTGTTTTTTTCAAGGGGAACCACTTCTCGTTATGTTCCTACTCCCAGACAATTTAGAATCTAAAATTTCAATGGGAGATAAATGGTTGCCGAAAGCGTGATACCATAGGGACAAAAAAAAAAAAAAAAAAAAAAAAAAAAAAAAAAAAAAAAAAAAAAAAAAAAANAAAAAAAAAAACATGAAAAATACTTGCTACTCAATTATCAAGCGACAAAGTATCTATGAAATTTGTACTGTAATCAAGTATGACAAATATTTTAAACGTCAAGTCCACTATCTTTTCAAGAATGTCAGAGTATGAATAATAATCCCAATAATTTTCATATTTTTTTTTTTCACGCATTTGACTCTTTGTGGAAAGTAATAATGCAAACCAAATTTATTTCATTTTCGCTAACAATTGTTACAATAAAATATTTTATACCGTCAAAGTTTCCATGGGCCACATTTAAGTCCAAACGAATGAATATCCGGTCACTCGGAAATGTGTGAAAAGTCACCGAAAGCGAAAGAAAAACATACGTCTCACACGAGTGAAATTAATCTCTCGTGATAACGAGGGAAAAAATCATTCACCATTCATGGTGAGGAAAAAATTTATCTTTGTTTTGAGAATAGTAACCTAAACAAAGAAAAGAAAAACAATCCAAATAGAGTTATGTGTTTCAGTCACCTCCCCCTCAAAAAAAAAGTACGAGATGCGTCGTTACACGTGTGGAGGATGATTTTTTCCCCTTGGATCGATTCTTTCGTTCCAATCGGAGGATATCCGGTCGCTAGTAAATGATTGAGACGTCACTCGTGGAAATCGAAGGAGCAATTGGAATATAGTTCATCATTAGATCAGAATAAAAATGCATTAAATCACACTTTAGCGATTAGTACGATCGTGCCATCATATCTATAAATACGCATACCTCCACATAAACGTACTTAGGTGTGTATCCGATTATGCGACTATTACATCCCCCCCTCTTTGCTTTCGTCTCTTCAGTATTCGTAAATAGAGAAAGTATATCTGTAATATTGCGCACTTGCACTATCAGTGGAAAAACATGTGGTATAGAGGGATTCCTAGCAAATATGACTTTTCCATAATCACGAGTTTGAAAAATCGCATTGCGCAAAAGTCATTATTACTTTCTCTCCGTGCGGGGCGGGGGAGGGCCTGTAGTTGCAAATGTGCAACGAAACATTGATTCGCTTTACGTGTATGTATACTATATACACACCGGCTCGCACGTGCAATTATACGATACTCGTCCGTTCGGTTGAACTTGCGAGTTTACCGCTTATGTAATGTATGTAATATTGACCCGACTGTACTTACACGTGAACTGATCTGCCATTATTTATAAACGGCAGCTTACGGAAACTTTCCGTTACCATTTTCACTGTGACGGGGGTATTGTTTGTTGTTGCGCGATAACAATGTACACACGATGCATAACTTTGAATTTTTATTTAATTTATTTATTTTACACAATTTTAAGGTTTTTTTTCGTCGTTCTGACATACCCAATCAAATTCTTCTTGGCCACTCGTCACTTGTGGATCGCAGTATTTTTGTACTTCGATGGCTCACCGCATACACGTAAGGGATGATTCGTAAACAAGTTGGTGATTTTTTTTTCTACTTTTAAACTTTTTTTTTTTTTGTTTTTGTTGTTTTTTTCTAGAAAAAACTTTTATCGCCATACTTGGCGGCTTTAGTGGGCCAAACAACACATTTTTCCGGGTTGAATTGGCGCGGTGCAAATAAATGTGGCGACCTGTCCAACACTCCGATATTGTTCGTAACATCTGCTTCGTGTCTTGGGACTAGTCCAACTAATTGGAGTAGCAATAATTTTTCGTTCGCGCGCGCGTTATACCTTTGGGTTATTTAGTACGAAGGTGAATTTGTAATCTACGTAGATTACTCAATTAAGGTGGTTAAAAAAATGCATAGTCTACAGCGTAGGACTCCCATACGCCTTAAAAGATAGAAAAATCACAGAACCTGATACTTACAAACGAAGAATTTTTTATGTCAACCGGATTGGGAGCGTTTGATGAATATTTTGTACACGTAACTGCTGCGAGCCCTCCAGATCTTCTGGAAGCTTCGAGCAGATTCGCTTGGAGTATGTTTCAAATAAACCTTATGTACGCGAGTCTGGACAGTTCGAAGATACATTTCAGTAAATTTTTAGATGAAAAAAAAAAAAAAAAAAATTATTAAAATCACTTGAATTTAGAATGAAATTTTTCAATCAAGACTAAAAATCAGTCGATAGAGATTTTGGCCAACTAAAACCAAATGTTTGATGGATTCAAAAGCTGTATAATTTATCTGGACTCATTACACATGCAGTACCCGATAAAACTGTGAATGACAGAAGTAGTTTTTATGAGAAAGAGTGTATTGCTGAGCTTTTAAGAATACATGGAGGAACATAATATGCGAGTCCTTGGCATTCGAATAAAATACTGCCAATGATGATTGAAAATTCCAAAAGTCAGGAGTGCTAAGACCTCCCGCCATCCCTTGCTGCGATTATCTGTGGTCAGCAGCGTTAGAGTCGGGTTACTATCGCACCAAGTGGGAAGAGAGCAATCGCCCGGAAAATTTTCTTATCTTTAATTTAAGAAAACTCCTACGGTTCAAAACAATCAATCATACGTATGCATAGGTAATGGTATACATACAAACATCATCTCATTCTTGCGACGTAAGTTTGTTGTTACTATCTTTATATGACTGTGGCTTTGAACATACACTTACCAATAATTATTGTATGATTTACATTTCTATGTAAAAGAAAGTTTAGCTTGCATTGAGTAAGTAAATATAAATAAGTAAAAAAAAAATTAAGAACTTCATTTTATTGGGTCTCTTAAGTCGATTAAATAAATTGGAAATTTTTTTTATTTTTTTATTTGATATGTGTTCCAAAGTGTTTTCTACTGACAAAATTTAGGCATTAAAAAGAATCTGCAAGGTGTAAGTACGATTTGTTATTAGTTTCTTTGCAAAAAAAAATACAAAAATAATATTATTAAAAGTGTTTATTAGAAATTTACTGCAGAAATAAAACTTTTCACTAAACAAAAGTTTTGCTGGAACGCAGCATTCTCGAATATAATGTTTAATAAACAATTTTGAACTAAATCACTTTTGATCATTCACCGCAATAATAAATAATGAATCTCATAGAAAATCTATCTAACCAACAATCAAGCGTTAAAAAGTTTTCTCGTTTTATGCCGCTTTTGACTGGCCTAGTAATACCGATTTCCTGATTGATAATCATCATAGATCGTTAATTGAATTTGACCGATTTGTACCTAGTGTATACCTACAGTACCTACCATCGCACACATTACTTTTTAATTATTTATATATACACACAATACACACATACACACACCAAGTAAAAGGGCATTAAAATGATTCAAGATGAAGATCGGCAAATTACTTTTTTTAAATTCTAATTTTCGATGCTGAGTTCGTGGTTTTAACGATAATAATTTTAACTTTCATATTTCACGGAAATACGAAATAAGTAAGTAGCACACTCTACAGCATTGCCAGAAAAATACATTGAAGACAGAATACCGAAATCGAAAATCGGCAATCGGCAAGCATGGCAGCAATTTATACATTACGACGACAGCGCCACTTTCGTCGTCCCGCGGTCCCAGCACCCCCGCACTCGTCCCTCGTCATACAGGAGTGTCAGTAGCAGTAGAAATCGAGTACATTGGGACTATTGGGAGAGTTAATGACACGTATGCCGTTTCGTCAGTGCAAAATATAATAGATGTCAATACCTGGTGACAGCTTGACACCGCGAGACTCGTCCGCCCTTTGATAACGAGGTACGTGAGCCCCATAGCTGCCTGACCTCCGATTCATTGCTTGATCACGACAGCTGTTATTATTTGGACGCGAACATAACCTTTCGCTCGCGTCTCTTACACCTACCTGCTTGCTTTAATAAGAATTTCTGCCAAGTAGCTCGTTGATTTCGCGACGCGATAGTGATAAAACAACAAAAACGACGAGTAGCGCGAGACCCAAGTGCTGTCTAATCAGCGTGCATGTTTAAGTACCTACTCACTGTCGACAGGATTCCAGCTGATCCTAACCGGTTCGAGAGCGAGTCCGCGGCGACGACGCCAAAATGAACAGCATAGCCGACCAGCCATGCTACACCCTGATCAACATTCCGCTGGACACGGAGCCGGCTAACGAGCTCCAGTTGAAGCAGGATCTCGAGAAAGGTGACGTCAAAGTCAAGATCGAGGCCCTCAAGAAGACCATCAACATGATTATGAGCGGAGAACGACTGCCTGGTTTTCTCATGATCATCATAAGGTTCGTGCTGCCGCTGCAGGATCACACTATCAAGAAGCTGTTGCTCATCTTTTGGGAGATTGTGCCCAAGACGACGCCTGATGGCAAGCTTTTGCAAGAGATGATTTTGGTCTGCGATGCTTACAGAAAGGACTTACAGCATCCCAATGAGTTCATCAGGGGCTCGACTCTTAGGTGTGTAAACGATTCCAATAATATGGAGATAAAAAATAATGTATGGTAATTTTTGGTAGGTTTTTGTGTAAATTGAAAGAGCCGGAACTACTTGAGCCACTTATGCCAGCAATAACTGCTTGCTTGGAACACAGGCATTCCTATGTCAGGCGCAATGCTGTCTTGGCAATATTCACAATTTATCGTAACTTTGAGTTTCTCATCCCCGATGCACCAGAATTGATTGCGAAATACTTGGAGAGCGAGGAAGATGTGTCTTGCAGGAGAAATGCTTTTCTCATGTTATTGCATGCCGATCAAAGCAGAGCTCTATCTTATTTGGCTGCCTGCTTGGATCAAGTTCCAAGATTTGGAGATATTCTACAACTCGTCATTGTCGAACTCATTTACAAGGTGGGGCAAGATCTTTTATTCTTCAAACAATATTCAAAAAATATTTATTTCATTAGAATGTTATTTCAGGTATGCCTTGCAAATCCAGCGGAACGAGCCCGTTTTATCAGATGTATCTACAGTTTACTTAACTCATCTAGTTCTGCAGTTCGCTATGAAGCAGCTGGTACTTTGGTTACACTTTCAAGTGCTCCAACTGCTATTAAAGCTGCATCCTCTTGTTACATTGAGTTAGTGGTTAAAGAAAGTGACAATAATGTTAAGTTGATAGTTCTTGATAGATTAATTTCTATGAAGGAGAATCCAAATCATGAAAAAGTTCTACAGGATCTTGTTATGGATATTTTGCGTGTATTGGGTAAGTAAAATAGAAATCATTTAAATTAAAAATATCGACTTGAGTTGAATTGATGTTATTCAACTTAAATGTGTAGGCTCACCAGCTCTAGAAGTCAGAACAAAAACTTTGGCCCTTGCTATGGATTTGGTCACTTTGAAAACCATCGAGGAAATGGTTCAGTTATTAAAGAAAGAGATCATCAGAACTGCTGGTGGTGAACAAGAGGATGCTGGAAAATATAGACAACTCCTTGTTAGAACGTTGCACTCTTGCTCTATCAAGTTCCCAAATGTCGCGGCAACGATTATTCCAGTATTAACCGATTTTCTATCTGAAAACAATAGTGAAGCTGCATCAAACGACGTGCTGGTGTTTATCCGCGAAGCCATTGAGAGATTTGATAACTTAAGACCTTTAATTATTGAAAAACTGCTTGAGGTAAACATTTTTTTTTTCTACTGTTTTCAATACAATTGATTTTTATACTTATTTTTTTACTTTTTTTTAGGTATTTTCACAAATTCGGTCTGCTAATATTCACAGAGGAGCTCTATGGATTCTTGGCGAATACGCAACTTCCAAGGATGATATTGACTCGGTGATGTCCCGCGTACGATCTGTCCTTGGCGAGTTACCTCTCGTAGAGGCAGAAAATAAGAGACAAGCTGGCGAAAAACCTCCCGAAGAATCTGAAAGTGGCCAATCTAATCCTGCGCAATTGGTTACGTCGGATGGAACGTACGCCTCGCAAAGTGCATTCAGTACGGCTTCAACCAAAAAAAAGGAAGAAAAACGTCCAACTTTGGTTCAGTATTTGATGGACGGCGACTTTTTCATTGCTGCAGCTTTAGCAACTACTTTATCGAAACTAGCTCTTCGCTACAAGGAGATGGAGAGCGATGAGAAGAAGAGCAAGAGGATGATTGCTGAATCTATGCTAATCATGTCGAGTCTACTTCAGCTCGGTCGGTCTGGTCTCCCTACTAAAGCCATGACACACGACGACGCAGAAAGAATTTCTCTATGCTTGCGGTCCTTGGCTTGTCCAACTCCACTTGTACAAAAAGTATTTACGGAAGGTTGTAGGGATGCTTTGAGCAAAATGCTGGCTGCCAAAGCTGAAGAAGATCAGCAAACGCAAAAGGTACTTTTAATTTTTATTGTATTGTATAAATAGTCACTCATTTGAATATTTATTATTAACTTGAAAAAAAAAAAAAAAAAAAAATTTCAGGCTAAAGAAAAGCCAAGCAACATAGTGCAAGTAGATGATGCAATTCAATTCTTGCAACTGAATTGCAACTCTGATCTTACGGGTGGTGTTGGCGACATGTTTGAGCAGAGCTTGAGTGCTGCAGTAGCCGGAAAATCGGGCAGCGAGAAAGAGACACCTGCTCCGAGTGCACTCAGCAAGGTTACCCAACTGACTGGATTTTCAGACCCAGTCTATGCAGAGGCACTCGTTCATGTCAATCAATACGATATCGTGCTTGACGTGCTCATTGTCAATCAGACAGAAGACACGCTGCAAAACTGTACATTGGAATTGGCAACTATGGGCGATCTCAAGCTCGTGGAGAGGCCACAGCCGATTGTGCTTGCTCCCCGTGATTTTGCCAGCATAAAAGCTAATGTCAAGGTGGCATCAACAGAAAATGGAATTATTTTTGGCAATATTGGTAAGTATTGTTATTTTGAATCGGATACATAAAGTTTGCTAGATTAAAAAATTTATTATATTTTTTTTATTTTTTTATTCATCAGTATACGATGTTACTGGAGCCGCTTCGGACAGGAATGTCATAGTTCTCAATGATATACATATTGATATCATGGATTATATTGTTCCGGCCACGTGCACGGACCACGAATTCAGACAAATGTGGGCAGAGTTCGAATGGGAAAACAAAGTGTCAGTGAACACTACCCTTTCCGATCTCAGGGAATACCTCGCACACCTTCTCAAATCCACAAATATGCGGTGCCTAACTCCAGAAAAGGTAGGTCTTGACAGATCTTTTTTAACTCTTTACAGTGTTATTTGTTAACTAAATCATAAAATTTTCAGGCTCTCTCTGGACAATGTGGATTTATGGCTGCAAACATGTACGCCAAATCAATATTTGGCGAAGATGCGCTTGCGAATCTGTCGATCGAGAAACCACTGAACAAGCCTGATGCTCCGGTGGTTGGTCACATTCGCATACGTGCCAAGAGCCAAGGGATGGCTCTGTCTCTCGGCGACAAAATAAATTCCGCACAGAAGAGCACTCAAAATAAAGTTGTTCAGGCAGCCTAATTAAGCCCCAGGGTAATGTAAGTACTTGTGAGAATCTTCAAATACAGTGACTGGTATTTCAAAGAGAAATAAAAATTTATGTTAAAAAATAAAAACTTTTCGATGAACATTATTATCATCAACATCTGCAAAATGCATCGATTCATATTTTTACTGCGTGTACTTGCGTGAATCGTGAGTCTCTATGTGTGTATGCATATGTGTGTGTGTGTGTGTGTCTGCGCGATAATAAAAAGAGGGGTAGGTAGTGATTTTGACTATTGCTAAGCAAGTTTTCGTCAAAGCTTATATAAAGTAAGTCCTTTGTTTTGTGCAAAGAGCTGGTTAATTGTTGATGAAATTCAGTAAAAAAATATAAAAAAAAATTAAAAAAAAAACAAAAAATACATGTATGTTTACTTTGAAAAAGGAATTATGAAAATATACATTTACTTGCAACTATGTTTTATTTAAAAAATTTTTATGAATAAAAATTTACATAATCATGAAATTTTTGCTCCATTTATTGTGAGACTGTAGAACCTTTGTCCCTTATCATCATTTTTTATGATTAAATAAATAATGTATGTGAAAGCTGCTATCCTAACCCATTCTATGCCGAATTTTATTAGCACTACCTTGCTCACCACAAGTTTTTACCGCAACCTTCTTTGTAAAGATAAGTTACAAACAAATAATATTATCCAGCGTATTTTAATAATCAATAATCAGTAAATAGCCGTTGGAATTTTAAATAACAACATCAATCACAGGGCAAAACATTGTATCGAACATCTTCTCTGCCAAGTTCCGCTTCCACTTTCCAACGGAAAATCAATATAACTCATCATCATCTTCACACGAACAAATATGGCACACACCTTCAGTCGATAATCTCCATGTAGGTATAACAAAGCTTGAGGCCGAACGGACAGTTTGTCTAGAGCCATCCACCAGCTTTCCTCGGTGACCTTGCCGCGGACACCTTCGGCGACCTCTTGGGCTTCATCTCGGGAGTCACGAAGCTCGGGCTCTTTGGCCGCGGCCTGACGATACCACCAGCATCTCCGTGACCAAAGCTCGCCCCGACGCTCAGATTATTCACCGACAGTATGTTACCGCTACTGATGTTGCTTGGATGGCAAGGACGTGGAACTGCACTGCCAGGCGCTGGAGCCTTACGCTTGACGCGCGGAGACGACTTTTGGATCGACAACAGGGGCCGCGGCTGGACCAACGAGCTCTCGTTCTCATAGTTCACCGCCACTGGGTCGTTCATCTAACACGTGTTCATTATTATACCAACTATACTTTTATTGGATGGTAAGACATTTCCAACTATTACGCAGTTCTGTACACGTGTGTGGTATAACATATACCTTCGAGTGGTGGGCGTCCGGAGTGACGCAGCGAGGCGTCGGGGCGTCTCTGAACTCGTCAAACCCGTCGTCTTTCAGTACCCGCAGTATACCCGAGGATTTGACGGGATCGGGTAATCGAATCGGCGACAGCGGAGGCGGGCTCTTCAGAGACAGGCGCCTGGCTTCCTCCATCACGCGCTTCAGGTTCGCCTGCTGTTTCAACGATATGCGATCGTTGCTGCGACCTATTTGTGACTTTTTCACCGTACCGTCTATCACCTGGATCATTTTGGTTTATTTTTAAATCGTATAATCATGGCAGATTCAATGTAGTTTTGTGAAAACAGACAGACCTGCGACCAGCGATGCTCGGCAGACTTGAGGACGGCGAGTCGAGCTACTCGCTTCCACTTGGCTGCCATGTCCTCGTTTTCCGGGGACTGCTCGAGACTGATTTCCTCGAGGGGAATTTGAAAATCCTTCAACAGCCTTCTTTCCCAACATTTCGACTTTCTGCCCAGTACCACTGCAATGGATTCATCAGAGTGAGGAATATCGTTCAGTTCAGCAACGATAAAATTGTATTTTGTTGTTAAACCCACTTGAACTAGCCGAGGTGTCCGCACTGCCGGTGTCCATCCCGTTTTTCTTCAAAATTTCGAGCAATTCGCATCTCCAGGCCGACACGTCGGATTTGACCTCGTGAATGTCGTCTTCGGTCACCGGCTCGTTATCTTGTTCCGCGTGGGCGCTCACCACGTACCTCCATTTCAGGGCGTTCATCACTTCATTATATCTGTGGATTATTATTGTTTTATGTTTTTTTTTGCCATTTTAAAAAATTGGTCAAATCGTTTGCTCTCGTTGCAATAAATTTACACCACGTACTTGTGCTCGCGGGCGCGCCTCCGGATACTATTGCGCTTGAACTCGCTCTTGTGCTGGATACCGCATACCCGCAGGAGCATCTTCGGGTGTGGCAGAACATTGAACGGCGGTGGCAAGGTACCACCAGCCTCGAAGTAGCTCATCCACAGCTTCGTACGGGCAAATTTCCACTCGGTGTCCGAGTGTTCCTGCGTGGATTGGTGAAACATTTTTTTTGTTGCTAGTAAAAAAAAAAAAAAAAAAAAAATATGTTTAAATAGAGAGGTATGTGTACTCACCTCGATGATGGTGTAACTGTTGCTCATCATTGCGATCAAGAGGTTCAGGAGGACGATTATGTTGATCACGGAGTACGAGCCAAACATCAATAGGCCCCAAAATCGGGTGTAGCTCTTGATTCCTGCATAAATTGCCCGTGAGATGAAACATTTTTTCAATGAATATAATATAACACGTACCGGTCAGTTCAAAACTGTCGATCCCGACGCCGCCGAAACTCGCCCAAAACAGGCTCTGGCAGGATTCGAACAAATTGCTGAATCTGAGCGATACAAAAAAAAAAAAAAAAAAAAAAAAATGCACCGTCAGTCGATTTTTTCATTTCCATCAAAGAATCGTTACTGTGGGTTTTATTTATTTTTTTTTTTTCATCGCGATTTCACACATGACAGTTGCTCACCTCCTCCATCGTATGCAAGCGTCACTCGCCGCGTCCCATGAGGGATCGTTCACATCGCTATAACACTTTTTCCTCTCCAATTCGGCAAAATACCAGAGCAATTGGTTCAATCCACAGGCAAACGCGAACAGCACGAGGGTATAGATGAAGAAAAATTTGACTATGTCTATAACCATCCGCCCAAGAGAAATCTGAAAATGCACATATTTATTATACATTTGAATCTCGCCTCTCTTCTCTATACAATATGTACCAGTGCGCGGTGCACGTGCAGTGCAATCGAATAACTCGTGAGAAATTTTTGTTGTTGTTGTTGTTGTTTTTAACACACACATTTGGCAAACGAAGAGTAGGCGTTTATGTACCTGGAGAGGTCCAAGGTGCGGATTGATGCTGAACAGGTGGACGAGCTTGAGGGCACTGGCGACGTTGGCCGCGGCAAAGAGGCCCTCGGAAATAAGCTGGGGATCAAAGTCGGGCCAATTCTCGCGCGGCACCATCGCCGCCGACTCGTCCTGGCCGATCTCCCTCGCCTGCTCGACGTAAGCGTAGACGCGCAACAGAGCCACGGACACGTACAGGGTATTGCGCGTAAAATCGATGAAATTCCAAAGGTCGCGAAGATACGCGCGCAACCCGTCGGTATACACTTCGCGCATCTCCTCGATTATAAAGCCCAGCACGTAGACCGCGACGATACCCTCGAGGAAGGACGGACCGAGGCCACGTTGTCTGGCCACGCCACTCTGATCCAACTTCTGCCCAGGGCCGGGGTCGTCGCCGAACCACACGACCAATTCTTCGTCAAAGCGCTGCGACACCAGGATCAGAACGACTGCAACAACAAATAAGGTTTGTTCTCACTCGCGTGTCAGATGGTACAGGTACACATGATATTGCGCGTAGAGTATAATTGCACGGACGCAAGAAGAACAGATAAGAGGAGGCGTGAACGAGGAACTTCATGAACGGGCGCCTCATCGTCTGGCCGAGCCTCGTGCCGGGGAACAAGAAGTAGATGGTGCAGTACAAAGGGAACAGCAGAGCCGTCTTGATCAGGATGCAAGCTCGCCTGGTGTTGCTCATTTTTCGAAAACCCGGGACACCCTCGTACCTGTTGAGCGGGTAAAGGTTGGTTTACATACGAGTGCCAATATAGGTACAGGAGATGAGGTACAACCAACCATATGGACGCCAAAAGTTGTTGAACGTGCGAGTGAGCCACGAACTTTTTCTGCCTGTAGCGAATGGCCTCCTCGAGTCGCGCCAGCTGTTTGCTCGGCTCGGCCGAGTGGTCGTCCGGGTCGAAGTTCAGGACTGTGTTGAGCTCGGATGAGCTGCGCGTCTGTTGCAGGAGATCCACCGCGAATCTGCCGCAAACGCATATTATACATAATATCGCATGGGTATTAAAATAAGTAATTAAATTGTTTTGATGTATGTAAAAAGAAATGGTGTGGGCATATACATCAGACACGTACTTTTCCACCTGTTTCTGGAGCCTCAGGTACTCGGTGCAACTTTCGGGCTCGGAGGTGGCCAGCTCCCGCAGCTCCCAGCTCAGCTGAAAGGCGGTCATCAGGGGATCCGGTGAGCTGAGTGCTATCAGACTCGGGCTGGCGAGCGCCTGGTACTCGGCTATCCGAGTGCTCGACAGCCTCAGAGGATCACCTGTACGTTATATATACAATATACAAGCATCTCAGTGACGATGGTTGTTATTTAGCTCGTGTCGATGGTTATACGTACCATCTGAGGCGCGCAGGCAATCTTCGCACTCGCACTTGATGTCGTGGGGCATGGGCAGAGTGGCGCCTCGGTCGAGCAGCAGCTTTAGGATCTCGTAGTTGTTTTTCCGGGCGGCCAGCATGAGGGGCGTCATGTCGGGTGGATATCTCGCCAGCACCGGATCCACCGTCTGCCAGCTGTGCACGATCTCCTTGTCATCGACTTTGTGGACCAATTTTGTGACATTCGGTATTTATACACCATACGACCGAGATGAGAAAAGTAATTTGATGATCAAGGGTAAAGAAAAGCGGAGCTTACACTTGCCGGTTGCCGTCACTTCGTTGTCGTTGCTGCACAAGAGTTCCTCGTGCTCGAGCAGCAGCTCGACGGCCTCGACAAACTCCTGGTTGATCGCGTGCAACAGGGCGTCCCGCGTCTCGACGCCCATCACGACGAGCAGCTCCAGCATTTCCAAATTTTCCGCCTCTATGGCCAATGTCAGGGCACCCCGGCCCAAACTGTCCACGCAATTTACGTCTATGCTCTTGTTCTGCACGATATATACAATCCAAAGTTGGCAAACAGCATTCAAGGAATTTTATCGATAAAAGGGACATTATTGTTTTGTTGCAATCGTCATGTATTCATAGTGCCGTGTTTTTTGTTTTTTTAATTGAAATACTACACAAAGAAGTGCAAGCAATCCATATATCCAAGCCGATGTGAAACAGTAAAAGCTCGGGTAATACACGCGAACGGGCTACCCTTAAAACCTTAGGAAACCATACAAAGCCGACACACTTTTCACCCTCCCTTCAAAGTGTATACATACACACTATGTGCGCAAATACGAAGCAAAAACAAAAGTATTGTTTGCCCTTTTTGCAAAAAAAAAAAAAAAAAAAAAAAAAAAAAAAAAAAAAAAAAAAAGTAAATAAATAATATTACCGTGCCCTTGTTGGCGGCAAGGAGGATTCTCCTGACGTTGGACAAGTCCCCTCTCTCGACCGACAGGAGGTACGACTTTTCGGCCAGACTAAGCGGCTTGGGCAGGTGGAAGGCATATTTGGCCTTTTTCTCCGGCGCCGATTCCAGCTCCTTTGGGCTTACCATTTTTGCCTTTCTTTTTTGAAATATCTACACCTTGTAGAGAAAAAAAAATCCTCGATCCCCAAGCAATGATCCTTCACGGATGAACGATGATTATCAATTAATCGTCCATTCCATTGTAAAGTGTTTTTTCCTCGTCAGAGCTCCCTCGACGATGGCCCATACACACTGGGTCCCCGCAAGGGTCGAAAGGGAAAATCAAGACACACCCAGAAAAATATAGATCTAGTCAAAAGTCGGATGGATGTATGCGTTTGGTCGCGAATCGTCGACTGCCGATGCGAGCCTCGACTCACATTGTGCATACCTGCGCCCCGAGGGGGAGCGAAATCGAATTAGTCCGACTTAACCGAGACCCTATATTGTGGATAATGTTTGCGTATGTGGACGCCCTTGGGTAATTCCTGCATGTTTCATTCTTCTTTCTTTTTTTTTTTTTTTTTGTTTGTTTTTTTACAACGTGACTTACACACGCCCGCGCACCTGGTGCATCACAGCTTGGATAATACGGCTTTGAGTGACGGCAATGCACATCTTGTTAGCGCGGCCCGGTATAGATACGTGCACGTCCGGGCGTTCATCCCAGTTACTTTGGTGTCTTATTTTTACTTTAATTACTTTACAGTTGCGGTGAAGGACACGTTTTTTCGACGGCACGTGAACCGGAGGTGACGATGTTCGCCAGACCGACTTGTTTGGATCAGTAGTGTGCATATTATTATATAGTATCAGTATGAAGCTTATTGCTGGCCACGTTTTTCTTTCGCGCGTCTAAGTAAGGATTCCGCGATTGTCGTCGTTGTTACTTTTTTGCGCCTCTTGGCTAGGTTTTCGTCACCTCCTTGTGACAATTAAGACCCGTTGCCGTCATTTCGATCGATCGTTACGACTTTAGTCGTTTTCCATACGATTGATTCTTACGTTTGAGGCTGGTGCCATTTTCAGACATGCACCTTTCCTTTGATTATGGTATATGCATGGCTACTGATGATATGCAGTACCAACACGGTTATTTTTTAACCGATTCTTTGATTTACATCTTTTTACAATTGATAATGCCTTTGATCGTTGACACTCGACGTGCTACTGAGTGATGCGTGCCTTTTTTCTACGTGCCCGCACTCAGAACCTTGATAGTTTCGTCAACTCGGAGGAAAGAAGATTTGTCCGCGATTGGCATTGACTACCATCAATCAAAAAATAAACGTACGATGTGGATACAAAAGGAGTATCGGTATGTAAAAAAAATCGGTAATGTATAAATATTCGATCAAGATCAACAAACAGAGCACAGTACACAGCGATTCGATTCTCTGTTATATGTTCCTTTCTCCGCGCGATGTGCAAAAAACAGAATCAGAAAAGAAAGTAAAATAAAAGGAATCGGTCGAACCGTTCCTGTACAACACGGGACGAGGGCGATAATTTTGTTTTATTCCGTTTGCACTCGTAAACAAACGCAGCAGCAAAGTCAATATTGTACCAGCTCGAGCGGAACCGAGTCAACTCCTTCGGGCGCAGAAGGGAAAAAAAAAAAAAAAAGCAAGACGAATCGTCCATCCTCCCGGATCATCCCGAGGTTATTTATTCTCGGAACGCTTTCTTCGGCTCGCAGTCGCCCGCTTTGCCGCTTCGAGTGGTTTATCGTCGATGATGGCGAAAGATCGTCTCGTCCTTGTCGTGGTCGCGGTCGCACTGGCGTCCGAGGGATGCGCCGCGGCAGTGGGAAAGTTGTACAGCCGACCCTTGAAGTTCAGGTTCACCGGCGAAGACCAGGAGACATCCGCCACCAAACACGAAGGCAAGTTTTCACAAGAGCGACTTTATATAGGTACCTACTACTTGATTCAATTCGTTTTTCAGGTGAGCATCTGCCCAACAACGATAGTGGGGAATCGAGACATTACGACGAGCATCATCACGACAGTGGAGAAAAGGACGATAAAGTGATGAAACAATTTTTAGCGCCTATACCTATACCTATGTTTGGAAAAACATTGGAATTACCTGATTACAGAGTTACGAGGATCATCACGAGCGCGATGAGGAAGAAAAAGGGCACTTGGATAAAACCAATCGCAAGCAGCACATTGCCGAGGAAAAAGGACACAGCGATCGGGAGCTCGATGAGCACAAGCACGTGACGGACGAGCATGTTGGCGAAAAAAGTAAAAAATCGGAAAAGTACGACGAAAGCTCCAAGTACCACAAGGGCCACAGTACCAAGGGTGAGCACAACGTTGTTAAAAAGGTTGGTCGTTACCCTTGATTGTTTCAAATTTGGTTGTTGCTTGAGGTGAAACTTGTGTAGGATAACTACGAAAAGAAGCACGACTTTTACGACGAATTCCACGATGATGACGAGCACGAGAGACACGAGGAGCATCACGGAGATCACGGAGCTCGCCAAGAAGGTCACTGCCAAACCGAACGCGACAGTAAGGAAGTACTCAAGGTAAACGATAAACGTGATGAGTCTTTGAAAATATTTCTGAAATTTCATGAATTTTCAGGAGCAAGGAGAGAAAAGGGGAAATCACCACCTCGGAAAACAGAGCCACCACGTCGAGAGCCACTACAACGATGGCGCGCACAAACATCGTAGCGATCACAGCGGCAAGTTCGCGGGAAAAGATGGGAGCGTTGGACTCGGGAAGATATGGATTTACCGGCTCTAGTAGAGCAAAAAGCAATTACTGCTTTCATGCAAAAATTATCTCGAATCTTACTATTTGTTGATTATGTATACATGTATTTGGTTGAACACGATTTTGTTTATTACCTTTTAATCTCATTGTAGTTTTGCTTATCCTCGCCTGCATCGTCGTTACGTCGACGACTCCAACACCTCGCGAAGCGAAAAAAGCTTCGCGATTACGTGCACTTGGCTGCGTTTTGCAACGGGACGCACGATCCGTGCAACTGAGAAATTGCAAAATCTCGTCCAACAAAGTAATTTGCGATCGGCTCCGCGTGAACGACAAAAACGACAGATCGCCTCTAGAGTTCGATGGTCCCGGGCATACTCGTATCTATATACATAAAAAGTCTTCGATTGACTCGTGAATCCGTAATTGGTCAATTCTTTCGGTAGAAAGTGAAAACAGTAGGCGTGAAATTGCCCTCCTTGGCGCTGTTGCGCGCACCGGTGTATCTGTTTTTTTTTCCCCCTCCTCCTCTCACCTCTTTTACCCCGTGAATCCTGCGACTCGAATAGCAAAGAAACTGTTATTGTTTGAGAGAAAAGAAATTTGATGTTTTAGATATTATGAGACAAAGGAACAAAATCACGCACTTTTTCCGGTTATTCGTGTAACCGATGGAAATAAAGAACCGATGACTAAAAAGTTCTGGAAAAAATCATCTCGTTTCTTCTCCATAATCGTCGTAATGACATAACTTGTAGCCGCACAATTGACAGCACGAGTCTCCCTGTACACGTAAAATAAAAGGACGTGAAATCGTCACGGTGTGCGACAAACCCCGTGTTTCCACAAAGCTTCGCCGACACGTGGATTGTGCAACAAACCGAAGGAACTTGGGGGGAGAGAAAGGAGGAAACACCCAAAGTAGTCATGTAACTCCGAGGATCAAACCATTGCGAGGGACAATAAAACTCACGGGACGTAGCCGCGAGCAAGCTCAGTCTCCCGTCGGATCCGAAAAGGGGACCATGGCGCACCGGCGGGTGCTTCTTTTCACCCTTTCGCTCCTTGCCCACATGGTACCATATACGTATACCATGTATACTCTCGTTACATGTACCCGATGACTTGTGTGCTTTTCACTCCGTCAGGTGTCGCAATGCTCGGGAAAAACAACGACCACTACACACAACTCCAGCCAGAACCCGACGAGCGTCCACGTTTTCTCGGATGGTGTACTTCACGACGCGGAAAGCCCCCAGGGAGAGTTGTCCATCGCTGCCTACGAGCCTCAGAAACTCAAAGCGAACGAGACTACGAAAAGAAATCCAGCACTTGCAGGTAAGCCGTACTTTGAATCGCCAGACCGTCGTTTGAACCACTCCTTCTCCCCAGAACCCTCGAACCTCGGGCCGAGAAGGTCCCGACCGATCGATAGACGCGAGCCATCACCAAAGCCGAAAGTAACAACGATTCGACGCAAGAGCCGTGGTCCTTCGAAGGATGTTACAGCTGCGTTGCAGCCCGTGGTGAGCGTCAAAGCGCCTTCTTCCGACTCCGTTCCCGCGGGCCAAACTTTGGCTCATCGAACTTCGGCAATCAAACAGCGAAGCTACGGCACTACACTGACCGGTGACTCCGGGGACGCTTGGGGCCGTTCCAAGACACCCCCAGTGGGGAGTACCAGGGTGGACATCCCGGAAACCGTGCCCTACTACTCGACGATTGCGCTCGGGCACAGTCCCCACCATCGTCAACTGTCGGATGAGCTACCAGCTGCGTTCGACGAAAGCCAGACGGCCCACTCGATATCGCCGAGGAGAGGCGTGAGGTACGAGCAGGCACGTGGTGCGTCATCACCACCCGTTACGACGACGCGAAAACAAGCTCCGGCCGAGTCGGCGACGGCTCCTCGGCGGAACCGGTTGGAACCGGTTGGGGAGACGGCTCGTGTTGTTGCGACAACCGAGAGGCCCGAGGAAACGAGTAGAGAAGAAAGCATCACCTACGAGGATGCCAGCGGTGGGAGGGAGCCGTTTAGGATAATGGTGGCGCCCCTCGACCAGCGGAGCCACTCATCGTACCGGGTGACGGAGGACGTTTCCGATGAGGAGGAGGATGACGCGTCGCAGGGGGGAACGGAATGGTACTCGGATTCGGAGTCGACGGAGCAGGACTCGGATTATCACGAGGATCAGTCCCTGGAGCAAAACGTGCCACTGGCGACGGAAGTCGAGCAGCCCGTGGATTTGGCCGAGGAGGCGGACCACAGGAACGAGGAACACCTGGAAGCCAAGGAGGAAGGAAGCGCCGGCGAGGGCGGAAAGGACGAGCACCATCGGGAAGGCGAGAAAGGCGAGAAGGTCGGTGGTGATGATAGTTGTTTTTTTTTTTTTTTTTTTTTAGTAGATATAACGATTCTAATCCAGTAATAATTAGAATCGTTACGGGGTTAGAATTCTTACAGGAATTTAATGTGATTTATGATTCCTTTTGATAGTCGTTACATACAAAAGTCGAAACCTATATGCCTCCATCAAAAACAATCAATCTCTTGAAGATTCATTCTCAACTCAGTATGATCCTTTTTATATATATAGAATTCAGAAAATCAGAGATAGTATAGANTTTTTTTGTCCCTCTTTGGGATTTTTTTATATCTTAAAAAAACAAATTGCGGTGTTGTTTTGGCACCGCAGAGCTACAGGGAGCACCACGAGCACGAGGAGGGCGAGAAGGGCCACCACGACAAGGAGAAGCACGACAGCGAGTACGAGGAGAAAAAGGGGGCCAAGAAGAAGCACTTTGAGGAGGCCGAGGCTTCCGAGGAGCACAAAAAAGGGGAGGAGAGCGAGAAAAAGTCGGGGTACAGCGAAAAGGGCAAGCACAGCGAGGGCCACAACACCAAGGGCGAGCACTCGGTCCACAAAAAAGTACATACACGTGGCACAAATTAATGTATAAACGCTCTCGTGCTAAAGCTAGTGACCAAGTTGTTTTTTCCTTCTACTCCGGCGCAGGACGAGTACGAGAAAAAGACCGAGTTTTACGACGAGTTCCACGACAGTGGCGAGGAGGAGAAGAACGAGGGCCACCACGTGGAGCATCACCGGGAAAAGGGCGGACGGTACAAGACAGGCCATCGAAACGAGGCCTTTGACGAAGGGGAGCACGGGAAAAAGGGCAAGTACGAGAAGGGCCATAAACACCACGACAAAAAGGGGCACAAGGAGCACGAAGGACACGAGGAGATGCACCAGCACGAGAAGCGTCACGGGAAAAAGGGATCCAGTGGTGGTGGAAAGAAGTGGACGAGCCACGGCAAGCACTCGAGCTGAGATTCTCTCGTACTTGATCGGGCAGCCTTTGGCGTGCGCGCCTAGTGTATACTTTGACGGGGCAATATTTTGACTTTGCTCTGGCAAGTATATATATATATTTTTGTAGTTATCGATACTAATTGTTTGTTGCCAATTTGTTTGTTTGTTTTTCTTCGTGATGCATATGCGTGTAAATATGAGTATGAAAATTTTTTGCTGTTACTCGTTTAGTTGTTTCATGATAATTGTACATAAACACATAAAAAAAAAAAAAAGTACCCAACTTATTCATCTAGCGACGCGTGGTTTTCGCAGTTTCGATAAGTAATTCCCTCTATACGTACGAAAAAGAAAGAAAGAAAAAAAAAAAAAAAAAACAATTTTCTCTCAAACATCGTCCCACCGGTTCGTCCAACGTTGCGTGCAAGATAATTTCAATTCCCAACTCCCATGATGCCCCACGATGATAATATCACAGCGTTTACGGCTTGTTTACAGGAAACACGGTAATATTAATAAGGCAAGGAGATTACGCGAGCGGAGTTAATAGCAACGCGCATAATACCTACAACAGGTTGGAAAACGTCCCCATTAGCGAGGGGCGCTTACGTGCACGCAGTGCCGGACTTTAGGGACTTTAATACGCCCCGAGGCCTCCGCGAGGGATATATTAAATTCAGCAAGTCTTTAGTATACGTAAAAGGATGGAAAAAAAAAAAAAAAAAAGAAAAGATAGCCCGGCCTGTACACGCACGAATGTGATACGGTTGCGGTCTCGCGCGCCTAATCCTCTCCGACTTCCGTTGTTATGTGTATATATACGTAAGGATAGATAGGTAGTGCTGCGGGATCGAAAGCGTTCCCCGATTGCTCTGGGCTCTGGCGAGAGTGCCCAGGACCGTGACGACCGCTCTGTGTATACACATCACTGCTTACGGTGTCGCGCAAGTGGATGGATGACGAAAGTTTGATGAATCATCATCGGCTCTCTGGTGTAGGTGAACGTAGTTTTTTTTTTCTTTTTTTTTTTTTTTCTACCCGCAGCACAGTGATTCGATGCTATATAGGTTGATGGTAATTTGTACAATCTGTCCATTCGATGATGAACCCATGCACGATAAATATAAAGGAAATCAGTGCCCGAGGAGGATTTCATGCTATGTACGTCTGATGCAGTATACAATTAAACTCATCTGATTTGAATCTAATCGGTGATACCGATGCACGTAATTATCGTATCAATTGCGAATTGATACTTCGTTTATATGAGTAAGCGGCGCGATGTGGCGGCAAAGTCGCGTTATGTTGATTTCGATTGGAAAAAAGAAGCTATGAGGAATAATCAAGACAACATCGTCGTATTCATCGCCGTCACCCTGGCAATCTTCCCCTCCCGTATTCTTGCAGGTATAGGTATATACAACTCCTCCCTTCGATAAATATATATCCTCGTCAATCCTCGTGGGACGAAACTTTTCGGAAATAATTTTTTTTTTTTTTTCTTTTTCTTCATCCTCTGTGCACACACGCATCGGCAATCATGTGTATACATTACGTCTACGTATCACCCCCCTCCCTCGAAACGCATGACACGAGCGTGACCCGATTCCTCGATAAATTCCAACGGACGCGTGGCTCAAAAGGTAAAGATCGTATCTTCCGTTTCGTGGGGTGTACTCGCTGCAGCTTCTTCTTACGTTAGACTCGGCGCGACACCTTTTCATTTTTCCGTAGCCGCACTCCGTGCGGCCTTATTTTCGCGCTTCGGTGGGTCCTTAACTCGCCACACGCCTCCCTTCTTTTTGTTTCTTCCGTCCGTTCCTGCAGGAAAGTCATTTACTACTCCATACAATACACCTTCGTTCATAGAAAACTCATTTATTACTTCTTTTTTTTTTTTTTTTTTTTTTGCTGCTTTTGATGAATCAACGCTGATATATTTTCGATTACTGTATGAAAGTTAGGATATGGGGGGCACATCAGAGAATAACAAGAAAAAAGGCATGGATTATTTAGATGCAAAGTTTCATGGGTAAAGTACGTGTACCCTTATTGCGATCTTTTCTTTGAATTTACTTTTCATAGAGTTTTTCCCAAGTGTATTCTTACGAATAAACGCTTCTTACGAATTAGTTTTCACTTTGTGATGAAGAAATTAAATTTAAAAAATAATAAAAATAATAGTCCTTGGATCTCTTAAAATTATTGCGAAGAATATTTTAGCTGGAGAAAATTATGTTACTCAACTGTCGCGTGTTTACTGTTCCGGTGTGTGTGTACCGATACCTTGAAGATGACAATCAAAAAAAAGTCAGTCAAGAGAATGATTGATTCGGACACATTACTACGACCCGTAAATTGCATCTAAATATACATAAGTATGTGTTCGAAAAAAAAAAAAAGTAATAATAAAATATACTCCCTACCATCAACCATATAACACGTGGAGAAAGAAAAAAACAGAAACATGTCGTTCGAGTGAAAAAACATTTTCCGGAGCATATGCTAGAGTATATATACGGGTGCACTCAGTCTGATTAAGCATAAAATGGCCCTTTTCGCCAAATCAATGCCTCGGATCGAGTTTGCCTACTTTGCGTGCAATTGCGCGTGTGCTTGCGACTTCCAATACTCCTTACGTTAGCCCACGTAGTATATATAAGTATATATAAAATTTCTATCCTAATCGATTTTTACAGGGACTTTTATGAGTAGTAGGTACTGTTGCATTGCGCAACTTTTACGACCAGTTAGGGCTGGAAAAATATCGTCTGTGGCACGCGTTTGTACTCGTTTTGTTGAAAAATTTTGTTACAACGTCGTTTATTACTTTCGAAGTTTACAAGCAAATATTATTTCTAATTTGAAATCTGTCAAAAGTACGAGCGCGCGTTTATGTATTTAATAAGCTCAAGGGTAAAGAATAAATGTCGCTCATGGGGGTTAACTACCGATGTATATATACTTGTAAAAGTCATTGGGAAACCAATAACCGAAGCCGTAGGCTTTGATGGCGTTTTTTTAATTGGACGATCAAGTATTGACGGTGGAGGAACATTTTGTGAAATATTTTTTTTTTTTAAACAAATTTTTTTATTAGGGAAGCTATTGGTCCATTGTAATATACTGACACCTCATGTTTGTTGTTTTGACATATTTTATGTAGATAGATTGAGTGAAGGACACAAAATTTGGACATAGCAACGAAAATTATTTGTGATAATGTCTCTAAGCATATTTTGTTATTAAAATAAATCAAACAACTATTGATCACACTATATTTTATACACGAGTGTATACTTATAATAATTAAAAATATGAGATGACATGTTTGTACTGCAAATAGGAACTTGGCCAAGTCGAATTTAATTGAAATTTATTTGCAAATCAAACTAGCTATAGTGAGATAATCCTCGCAAAAGTAATCGAGCGTTCGAGTTTTGGTGTTAGATAGCACCACAAATGAAATTCAAACGCAACGCGAAACTAAACATAAATATATGTATATATATTGCATATACTGCTTATTGCATCTGATTTCACATCAATGTCGAAATTAAATTGAGCTTATCTCAATCGTGGCTTATAAAGTTATATGAAGAAAATGCAATGTGTAGATAATATAATTGTTTGGCAGTAAAACGAGATAATCTTTCAACTAAACCCGTTTTCTATCGCATCTTGTAGCCCATGATCCAGTAATTGCAGAATAGTTTTACTCAGTTGAATAACATTTGCACGGGGAAAATGGCAAAAAATAACGGGACCGAGAAAAATTTATTCTTTAAATACTATACATTTTTTTTTTTTTTTTTTCATTGAATGTAAGCAAATACGTTTATTTGGAATTCAGAGGCGGAATTTACTAGTTCACATATTGTAGTTGGTGAAACGCGCGAGCAAACGACAAAAGGTACCACATAACTTTTCACTCGTTGGTGAAGATTTTAATAACAGGCAGTATAGCATTTCCTTTGCAACATTTTAATTTTCACGGAACTAATAAAAGCTGAAAGAAAATTGCCTTTTTAAAATAAATTTTCTACATCTCGATGAGCTGTGAATTAATCAAGTCCACGTCTTATTGCACTTTGAAAAAGACTCCCCGCAGTGAAATGTTATAAGGGCCTTTGTAAAAGAATTATTTTACGTTTACATCAAACTCCGTTTTGAGAAACGCAGCTCCACTGCCACGCGCTTTTCTTTAATCTAAATTATTCTTTGTTTGATTTTAAATAAAGAAGATTTTGCCAATACCCATCTTTCTTTTGTGACATTTTGCACGCGCAAGTACAAAATTACGCGAAATCATACGTACGAAAATCACCGAATTTCCCCGTAAACGTGTTAAAAACCAACGTGACTCCGAAAAAAAAAAAATTTTAGACCCTTAAATTAGCTTTGAAAATTTACGGGGGGGAAAAAAAGCAAACGAATCGCAGTGGTTAGCATCTGCACGGCTGCCCTTAATTACCCAAAACAGATCTTACTTCTCCATCCGAGTGTAAGTAAAAATATTAGCAGCCCCCAAAGACGCGGACACGCGCTTCTTTAGTATTCATTAGCCTCGTGCTCGAAAGGGTAACGCTACACGGCAAAAATTTCAAGAAACGAGCCATCCCCCTCCCCAATTACGCGTAAGTATTATTCATAGGGTTTTTGCGTGAGTATCTCCCCGGGTAAAATCTTGGCGCTGCGCGCTAACAGTGTTCTCATGTTAGTCGGGATAAATTATGTGTAAAAAGTCCACTTTGACGAAATTTACGAAACAAGTTAGGTGTGTCCTATGAGTAGGGAGTCTTTTCTGGTGATGAACAGGCGATAACCAACGCACGGACCGAAAATTTCCCACGTCAGTGATTCGAGGGAATGCAGGTCTGGCGTCACAAGAGAGAGTTGCCACGATGCATTCGTATTAGCGTGGAACAATACGTATACACGTGATGGATGGCCGAGAGCGTATGTGCGCGGATCTGGACAAGCCGAGGAGGAGTGGATTGCACTACCGTTGACTTAGCGTGGGAGGTACAAGGGCGGAAGTTGGCTCGAATTTTGGAGATGTTCGAACCCTTCGAGTACAGGACTTGTAGTTTTACAAGAGAAAAAAAAAATACAGGCTATATATACACGCTTAGGTGCACTCGCACAGTGTTCAGCTTTCGGGGGGGTCGTCTATGGCGGTCGGCACGCGTGTGCGGCAGGGGGGTGAGCCGAGATGGTATATAGGAGGTGGAAGCAACGTCGGCTCCGTCACTGTCGCGTCGTGAGCTGTACCACGCGCACGCACCGATACGGCTGTAGCTTCTTTAGCACCTGTATACCGCGGCAATCGTATACACGGAGGTGGACCTACTCGACCGGTGTCTCTTTGGAGTAGTATACAGTGTACCGTTTGGCGAAGGAGTGGTTTGCCGGGCTAGTTGCATCGACTGGAGGAGGAGATATCACGACGAGAGCACCGGGACTGAGAAGCCGCAGCAACAGGTGAGCTGCTTTCGTGCGCTCCGTTTCGCGGGGAAGGCTCGCTTTTTGTATTTTTCATTTGGCCCTTTTTCCTCCGCTGCACTGCAGTTTTTCCTCTTTTTTTTTTTTTTTTTTTTTTTTTTTTTTTTTTTTCTTTCCACAAACAGTCCGTCGAGTACAGGGTTTTTTTTCTTTCTTTCTTCTTATCGGCAGGTGACAGTCTAGGCCTTCCGAGTTTTTAGCAGCTAATTTACGCGAATGAGATCGGCAAGTGTTGGATAGGGTTTTTTGGAGCTTTTCCTTATTTATTTCGATTTTTCCCGAAATTTTTTTTTTTTTTTCAATATTCCACATCGTTTCGCGAAAAGCCCAACATTTCCTCTTCAATTTTCCTTCGTACGACACGTATAAACTCGAGTGCTCGCAGTAGCGGCAGTTTAACGAAAAACGGAGAGCGTCACTGTCTTCCCGGCACTGTAAGTGACACCGGAGGTCGAGGCTTCCTTCTCTATTATGTTATTATGTTTGATGCTGATATAATGGCTCTTTCCGCAATTATTGTCGCTGCGCTGCGGTTTTCGTGGGCGAAAATTGGGTTTTGCCAATGCGTATCTTTGTGGTACAATTTCCCACGGATTGAAATGACAATTCCATCAGATTCTTATTGTTTGTTGCAAATTGAAACATCCCGTTTGTAAGTGCAGCATTTCACCGAGCCCCGTTACTTCGTTGCTTCAATGAATTAAAATTCATAAAATAATAGTTATACGGACAAATTAGTTGAAACCATAATTGTAGGTACATATAACATTAACTGTAACAACTAAACGTACTCAATTCGAGTGGTTATACTATTTTTTTTTCAAACAGTATTAAACCTAACTTAAAAAGTTACTAAAAGTCAAAATGATCCAAATTCTTGGTATAACTACGACTCATAACTGGACGACTTACAAAACGAATCCTTTTACGTCGTCCTAGTAAAAGTTATCAAAAAAAAAAAATTCCTGTCTTTTTAAAAAACCATCCCTTCTAAAAGAATTGCTCACAGTCGGTCCGACGATATTAAACTTTGCGGCTGACCAGTTTCAGCGTTGCACTACTTGGGCTCCAAAGACCCATAGGGTCAGCCTTGCTCCCCGACCGCGTGTCCCTCGCTTAATACTTTATTATTCGCGACAATCCGAAAGTTAAAGCGGCTTACCGAGCCAAAGAGCGAAAGACAAAAAGAATCAACTCTGGACTGACGGTTACAAAAAAAAAAAAAAAGAGATTGTAAAAATTAATGTCCACACCGGGACCTTCGCGTATTCTTGCCCACGCACTTCTGTACACCGTCATGTGTACCTTTGCCCGTATACCGTTAATCTCGAGCTTAAAAATCTGTACCCACTATACCCATCGTAGCAATGAAAACACAAACACACGAAACGGGCCATACATATGGAAAGGGGAGGGGAAGAAACAAAAACAACGCCGTCAAAGAGGGCACGCAAACGCCCCGAGGGCTTCTCTTTGCGCACTGTACAACGCACGCTCGGCGATCGATAAACAGATTTTAGGCTTAGCTGTGTTTGCCCCATCGCGATTTCGTTTTATGCTAACGCACCTTTACCGCGCGTGCAACCACGTGTACGGGCAACTTTTTCGTTTTTTGTTTTTGTTTTGTGCCACCCGATCGCGCGGAAAATTAAAAAGAACGGCTTATATACCCTTATTGCCCCACCCTCCCCCGCGCGGGCGGTGTGTTTGGAAACGAAATGAAACGACAATCTTCTCGAAAGCGATTTGGTTTTACGAACACAACAGTCGTAGGTGGGAGGGGATCATCCTTTGCATTAATTTTTCCATTTGATCGGCACGGGAGCACTTACGATAATTCAGGGGTATAACGGGGCGCTTTTACCGCGTGTCGTACAAAACACACGCGACGCTCGTAACGCAAAGGGGTTTTCTCTCCACAATGTTATACCACGCGTTTCTCGTAACTCTTCGAGTATGACGGATCGTGGTTTTGGTGGCAAGCGCGTGTAAATGTCTCATTTGGAGGGAAATTCCGGCTGAAGCGACGGGACGTATCAAAAATTCAATTTTTTTTTTAATCCCCGCAGCAGCGAGTGCGGTTTCGCGAAACCGATCGTCTCCGGAGGCACTCCGGCGCTAATGACATTAAAAAGATAACGGGCGTCTGGTTGATGAAAAAATCGATACGTGATGTGGTTACCGGTACATACGTGGCCCCTCCTCCCCTTCCAACGAAAATCAATATTCGCTCGACTCTCCACCGCCAACGGGTGGAAACACGGTATCTTCGACTCCTCATTCACTAGAAAAGACAGTCCCATCGTTGGAGGCTAATTAAACTCCCCTGTAAAACTCGAAATCCCGACTCGCCGTTGTGTACGCATTAGCATCGGTTAATTACTATTTCCGCCTACACCCACAAGCCAAATATAGAGCTCGCCCCTTCCGGGAACTACAGAGCCTCTGTTTCTCATTTCACGGAGCGCCGGCCCGAGCAAGAAGAAACGCTAATTCCGCCCGACTCCCAAGGACGGTGGCGATGATGATGACCAAGGCGCCCTGTAAATCGACGTTAATCGCTCCCGACTGATTCCCATCAGGAGCCCCCGGGCGCGCGCGTGCGTGAAAAATGCACCGCCAATTATACACGCGCCCCCGGAGTTGTGTCTATAGCTCTTTTTGCTTTTTAATTTTTCTCGTTCGGTGCAAAGTTGAGCGTCGAGTGCCATTCAAATGTTCGTCGCAACATTGGCTTTGTTAAATTATTCGTGCTTAGCTTGAAAGACGAAGGAAAAAGAGCCTCCATGAATATACGGAGCTGCCAGTGGCTCAGTGGTAGAGCGTTTGCCTTCGGGAGGCTCGGGTTCGATTCCCCGCTCCGTCCACTCTCGGTACCTCTGTGGGGCTTTTTCTCCACATAAATATACTTGGGCTCCTCTTCGTTTAATCCTCAGCGTGAGCTCCTTGTCTCTGCTCGACCGTCCATTGTGTTCATTGTTTGCGGATATTGTCATCCTGCGAAAAAGAGTCCTTTTGTCTCGGCGACGGATTGTCTTTCGACTTATCCGCTTTATAATTCGAGTTGGGTGTGTACGTGCAGCGGAGCTCGATCGCGTCGATCGATCTTTTGGGAAAAAAAAAAAGTTTCAGTAAATTGTCGCCTCTCGGGCAATTCGAAGCTCCCTTACTTGGACCAGTAAGTTATATATATAGGGACACTGTGCGTCATTGTTATGGAGATGAAATAAAAAAAAACTATCGCCAAGACCATAAGTTCTCGATGGTTATTTACGGCACCCGAGAGCTCGCGTAGGGTAATTTTTTTCCAAAAAGTTTGTTTCAACGTACACCCAAGTGTCGAAGATGCGGGAGAAAATACGTTTTGTCAAAGTTAACGCGTCCGCGAGGAAATATACGAGGCAGACGTCGGCGCATCCCGCATAAATCTGCGATCCGAAGGAATACATGAATGTATACATTATTCTCTTAGGATAAAAAGGACCTTCACTGCTCGGGGGCACAGAGTTACTCTGAACTTTGCTCCCAAGTCCGGTGGCGCAAAGGACCCGAATCCTGTTTCAAGCGTTACTTTTTCCAACGCGAGACAGACAGACCGGTTAACCCTTTCACAAGCGCCTCGGTCGTTAATTTCTCGCCGAAATAACCGAGCGAATTTAATCGCGGCTGAAAATTTTTTTTTCTTCCCCCCTGCTCGTAAACTCGCGTTGGAACTTAACGGCGTCGCGGGACGAAGTGTACGGCCGTCTCGGGGTGTTATCCGAGCCCCTCTCGCACTCGTTTGCCGGCGGGGATACGTTTCGGTGTGATGATGACCGGTTCCCCCGTACACACGGTGAATAGCAAATGTTATCGACTTACTCCTTGGCTACTGAAATATTTACACTATCGCTTACTCGCGCGGCGAGCCTTTTTCTTTCAAGTATTTATATCAATTTCCGAGTGGCGACCGGAAGTTATCTTGTAATGTAACGATCGACGGGGTGGAAACAAGTGGCAGCGAGAATAACGAGCGACGCGAACGGAGACCGTAAGTGTATGTGCAACCCCATACGGGGGTATGAAGCCAGCCGATAAAAGTCTACATACACAGTGCAGGTATACAGACTGCACCTATTCTTTTTTTTTCCCCCCCTCNTTGGGAAATTCCAAATTTTTTTTTTTTTTTTTTTTTTTTTTTTTAAAAATGAAGAAAAAAAAAAAAAAAAAAAAAAAAAAGACGGTAAAAGCTGGTCGATTCTGTAGCCCAAAAATATAAATGGAGCACTCATTGAAGCGATTAATATGTAAGAAAGAGAAAAAAACTCGATTGCGGAGTAAAAGTAACAGCGGTGGCCCAAAAAAAGGGATTCGCACGGTGTACGTATAAGACTCGAAGGGTTGTTTGTCCATCTCGGGGGAAAATACAGAGGCAAGGGCCAATTTCAGTGATACACTTACCGGTTGATTAGTTTATCGAGCAAACACTTCGAGTCCCGCGAGATAACGCACATACACCCATGCCTCTTTTTCCGTAATTCGCCAAATGGGAAAATCAAGTAGTACAGCCACGGTTTGGTCAGCCAAGCGCGGCGCCGTACACCGCGGGTAAAAGTATTTCGTCGAAACCACGCAATGAGGTAATGATATCCCCAAGTGTGGGTGAAGCAACCCGAGGACAAGAGCATCTCAGCGGCAAAGTAATCAGGCGCGCAGCGCCGCGCCGACGGATGGACGGGTACCCAGCTGGGACGCAATTCCGAGAGACATACTCCCATCACCCTCTCTCTCCCCCATCTGCGGGAAAATTTGAAACATACCCTACCTTCGTACGCGTAAACTCGCTTCATGCGATCCCGTACCTGTACGTACACGTATATAGCTCCTTCTGATGTCGACTCGCTAAGTACTCGATTGTGTTTTTGCGGGGGGGGGGGGGGGGTAGAGGTCCACGTAGACAATTTGCCGGCCGGTAAACACTGGGACACTTTTTTCTTATGGCACGCGCGTACTCGTTCAAAGAGCTCCCGGAAAAAAGGAGACCTGGCCAAAAAAAAGAGGCGACCTTCGGTGGCTTCCGCGGATAAATAGAACAAATACGGACCAGTACGTGCCGATCCTCTGTTTTCTCGGGACTCCGGCCCTTTTTTTTCTCTTTCGTTCGGTGTTTCTCGTAATTATATACGCCGCGAGCACCTCCAAGTTCCTTCTTTTCAGAGGCCGAGTGATTTCTCCCTTTTGTGTTTGCGTTGCTACGGGTATTTTTGCAGCGCTTGTGTAACATACGGTGAAACTCGAGCGTACACGTGCGCTTTTTGAGCTCCCGGTTGCGGAGTGAAAAAAACGAAAACGAGAAAGGGAGAAAAAAAACTTTTGATTGAAACGGAGAGAATCGCCTTATAAAACGCATACGAATAATGTAGATAACGGACGTTCGTATCGGTAAAATGCGAGTAATTCACCCGCGCTGGTGAGCAGCATGTCAGCACTGCCAGAAATTTTTCTTTTTGTTGCTTATCCCACGTGTACGCGTATGCACAGTCTACCTAACCGTACAACCAAGACTTGGGCACCGTACCTTTTTCAATTTTTATTTGCACTTTACATTGTTCGTGCTGAAAAAATTTTACTTCCCATTACCATTTACTACACAATTGTGTTACCAAAAATAATGCATTATAATTTAAAGTATCTAAATATTTGCTTTAAGGTAATTTACAATCAATTTCAATGAATAAAACGTACGTAAGTATGTGCTAGAAGAAAAAAAAAGTTTCTCTTCAAAGTATTGAAAAAAATCCACAAATCAACAGTGCCCCAGTCCGGCGCCTACTTTTTATCCGTGACGTCAAGACGAGATCGTCATCCGACGGAAATCGTCCGTGAGTTGCGCGCGTGGAAAAAAATAATTTTTTTTCCCTCCTCCCTCGCCTTGCCCAAAAAATAAAAACAAATGACAAACGACACACCTGTCAGACGGATATTATCTCGTTTGACTACTCGCTGTAACAAGAAGTAGAGAGACCGTCGCCCAGACTATTGTTTCGCGTCTCTGCACGACGGCCCGCTTAAACGGCCAAAGTTCGGTAATGTAGATGTAACAACATATATGTGTAGAGCGGAGAAAAAAAAAAGTTCGATGACAGTGCCATTAGTTTCGGCTCGTGTCACCTACTTTATGTTCTCGCTCTGGGACCATTTCGCCGATGGATCATACATACCTTGAGACTCGAAATCCAACAAAACTCACCCCCGACCTTATTCCCCCCCTTTTTATTATTCTAAGCAGTCCGGATACTCTCGATACACCCTCCACTTTCAATCGGCAAGAAATCAAGCACCCATAAAATACCCCCCCCCCCCTTCCGACCCGATGCTTCTTTATCCATACAAAAAACCTCTATGAATTACTTATGATATTAGCATCGAAATAAGACGCGCCACGGTATTATATGGGCTGCGACTCGTGGCACGTGCACGTAACAGCGTGAGCCCTCGTAGTACTTCCCCGGAATAAAAATTTGGACCCGCCAAAATTGACGGTGCTGCACTTGCGTTCGTTCCCTCATTTTTTTTTTTTTTTTTTTTTTGCGCCACCGATCCTCTCCCACGTATCCAATTTTCCCGCAACGGGCATATTGTATATAAGTGTCGTTGTTTGTTCGTCAAGATATCAAGATGAGCCCGAAGGTCCTGGCAATGAGAGTCCTGTGCCTCTGGCTGTTGAGCCTCGTGGGTGGCACGCCGTTGGACGACTCGGCGTCGTTGAAGGAGGCAGAGTCACCTGCATCGCCGGTGGCCCCAAACTCGCTGATGCCGTCGGCCGGGTCGCAGCACAAGCAGTACTACTACGCGCCCGAGGAAAAGCGGGCCTTTACCTATCGCTCGGAGGGTAAGAGGCTGCCGGTGTTCTCGTTCGGCCTCGGCAAGCGGGGAGAGGAGGAGGCCTTCCGGGCGGACGACTACCTCAGGGAGGACGCGGGACTCGTGGGAGATAAGGTTTGGACTTTTTTTAGCTTTTTCTCTCTCTCTCTCTCTCTCAGCTTATCTTGGGCGTTAAAAGTATATTCGTTATCTTTGATTTGACTGATGAATGGAGCGGATAGCCCAATGGTAGTTTTTTTTTTTTTTTTTTTTTTAGGGAGGGGGACCNAAAAAAAAAAAAAAAAAAAAAAAAAAGAAATCAGCTTCGACTTTAAAAGGCTGCAAAGATCGGTGTGTATAGGTGCTCGTAAATACATACAGTCAGGTGAGGGAGAGAGAGAAGGACCCCCATTCAGGTGGAAGGACGCTATAACGAGTCCAAAGGAAGAGCGAGAAGGGGCCTCGAATGAAAGTCGCACGAGCAGGTGGATGCCATCATCGGGAACCAAGTCGAGAGGAGAGTATATTATACATGTATGTGTATATATATAGGTATGAGCGCGTCGGCGACGAAGTTACGAAAAAAGGTGAACGTCCTCCTCCCAACTCGTGCGCACCGACGACGCTGCGACGACCGACCCAAGGAGAGGCCCATTCCCAAACCTCCGTACCTGTTTGGGTGTACGTTTTTTTTTTTTTTTTTTTTTTTTTCACTTCTCTCTCACCATATAAGCTGTGTCCTGCACCGTTTATAAGCTCAGAGACGAGAGTGTTGTATACTGGTATTCGTTTCCCCTCCCAATAACTCAGAGATCAGGCCCCTCCCCTCCTTGCTTTTCCAATGGCACTCAGTGTGGGCCTGCATACACAGCCTTTAAAAGCCGAATATCGCGCCCGGTTTATCCTATATATACCTCCCGCGTGCGTCTCTATATATATATATATGTATATGGCGCGTACAGAGGGAGAGGCTCCCCTCGACATTCCTTCCTTCCAAGAAATATATATATAGTGGCTTTACATTCGCAATTCACGGCCGAACGCCGCAAAAAACTTTTTCCAAGTCGAGCCGCGCTCGCTTGTACGGTATAATGTATACCTATATGATACATANAAAAAAAAAAAAAGAAAAAAAAACAAAGTCTTGTGCGTCCTTGAACCCGTACAACCGTACAGCCCTGGAGGTGTCTGATGAGAGTTGAAAACGCGTGCGAAAGGACGTATACGAAGAAAATAAGACAGAGCCAGGTAAAGTCACGTGCATAATATTATATTCTCACGCGTGCAGTGCTGTTGCGCCACCTGTAAACATGACCGGTGGTGCGCATATTTTCGCACGATTTCTCACGAAAGTTCTAAAAGTAAAGAAAATTTTTCGTTTAATTTGCGAAAAAACCACGCGCTGACGATGATACGAAAAATGTAATTGCGTAAAATTGTTACCGATTTCAAGAGATTCTATGTATAGTAAGTACACGTGGAGTAAGTATCGTTTTTTGGAATATAACTCACCATCGAGGGTGTGGGAGTCGGTGGGATAGGTAACGTGGAGATGCCCGTCAAAAACATCAGAAGTGACGTCACCGGCTTGGCGATGTAGCCGATGGTGATGATGATTGTGATCCTGTTGGTGCATATGGTGTAGGCTGTGGTGGTGGTGGTGGTGTTGTTGTTGGTGGGGGTCGCAGTGGTCGTCGAGACGGTGTTGGTGGTCGAGGGTCCTGTCCTGCGGCCTCGTAGCGTCGGAGGTCGCATCGCAGGTACCGGAGTAGGAAGTGAGACTGGGGTCGCGCGCCGGTGAGGGTGGACCGCAAGCGAGGAGGCTGTAGCTGTGCTCGGTCTTGATCGGCTTAGGCCCCCCGAGGGCCGCGTCTGTCATCAGACGGTCGCGCAGCACGACATTCGTCGAGCACACCCTGTCCACGTCGGTGCGCAAACTACTCGGCATGTCCTGCACGATGCCCCAATCGTCCTCTTTGCCGCAGCACACCAACAGTGTGTCGTGGCACAGCCCCTGGAACGAGGAAAAGAGAAATTTGTTTTTTTTTTTTTTTCTTTTTCCATTCCTCCTCTTTTCTCTTCTTTTTTCATTCGCACCGGCGTCTTTGGGGTGGTTCTCGGCGCTCACTCTCTATCTCTCTCGAGCTCCAAAATACTTGGGCTGTGTGCATGTGTCGTTTGTCTTTGTTCGCTCGTACATTATATAAAGAGATAGACAGAGAGAAAGCTTTTGGGGAACTCTCGAACTCTGCTCTGCTGCTATGCCACACAGTGTGTGATATACACACACGTGTATATACATATATATACATATAAATATATATATATATATACACCTAGAGCGCGTGGTAGCTCAGTTGGCTAGGTCGTGGATTG